CAGAAAAAATGAGCATTTATCGGCCGATACCGATATGGTGGCCGACATATCGTGCATCCCTTTATAGAATATAGAATACTGTCGTCAAAGACGCCATTTGAAGCTAAATGCAGACGTTTAAATGGACATACTATGGATGAAAACTGTTATAATCGGGCCGATACCGATAACAGAAAAAATGAGCATTTATCGGCCGATACCGATATGGTGGCCGACATATCGTGCATCCCTATAATTTTTATAGAATACTGTCGTCAAAGACGCCATTTGAAGCTAAACGCAGACGTTTAAATGGACATACTATGGATGAAAACTGTTATGATATACTTTTAAAGCATAAATTTGATTTAAACAATAGGTCTACATAATATTCACATATGCTGTTCAAAGGGAACGTATTGTATTAGCCCTACAGTTACATCATGAAATATTATTTAAACCTTACTATTAACATTTTTACTTATTTATTTATTTTATCTCACAATTCTGACTTTTTTTCTCGCAAATGCTAGTTTATATCTCTTAATTCTGACTTTATAACTCGACTTAACTCAAAAATAGTGAGTTTGTCAAATCTGAGTGAAAAAAGCCAGAAGAGCCGAGGGGAAACGAGAGAATGTCATTTAGGTGATATTTTGTAGTAGTGCTATAAGAAGCTGTCATGTGAAATGTGTAAAGTGAAATGAATGAAAGGTGTCGATCTCGGCATTTAATTTATGTTAGATTTGCTTTATTACATTACATCAGGTTTCTTTTTGAGTGTTGTGAGATGATTAGGTTTGCTTTATTACATTACATCAGATTTCTTTTTGAGTGTTGTGAGATGATTCTGCGGTCTGCAGTGTTGAGCATTATAACCAATCACACATGATCCTCTTGAGTTTATGAATGCAATATCCAATCAGAGGCGTTTTGATTCGTCACTGCAGAGTTGTTTAGTGTGCTCTCTCAGTTTTAGACTGAAGTCATGAAGCGCTGTGTTTCTTTACGTTATTTATTCCCTGTTTGAATATCCGTTTTGTTTGTCGTGCTGCTGAAATAACAATATTGTGAAGTCTTCATTATCTAATCTGTAAAATGGAATTCATAAACAGTTCATGCTTTTCCCCTTGAAACAACACAGATACAATTCAATCATTCATATGCTATAAAATGGATGAAAATGTTTTTAATGATAAAAAGAGCTTGTTTTTATTAAAAGCAAGACTTAATATCTCATATCAAAGCAAGTTTTTTTTCAAGGACACGTGTGTTTCGTAAGGTTTCAAGATTGGCCAATGATGGAGTTGACATTCAACATGAAGTCATCATATTTTTGTGGTTTAGGGGTATCGTATGATGTTTAAATGTGAATATTAAGATCCTGGTGAATGTAAATGGATAGAGGTAACAACTAATTGATTTATGTGTTCATATAACTGTTTTTAAAAGTTACCGTGATACCATAGCAGATGCACAGCAGACATAACTGTACTGAGATGAGAGAAAACAGATCATTTGTGTTCCAATGATATACCAAAATACTTAAATGTGAATTTTGAATAAAAGCTTTACAAACAATACATACTCACTGTTTGTTTTATTTGTTTTAATACAGTGATTGATTCAGAGTATTTGATCGTTAAAATGACTACAAATTCAGGTTTGTGTCACCACTGTCAGATGTGTCATCTTTGTCAGGTCTGTCACCTCTCTCGGATGAATATTTTGATAATATTTGATTATGATATTTTATATGTGTTGAGGAATTGTTGGTTACATGTGAAAGTGTAATATGTCTGCTAACATGAGAATGTGTTTTGAAATGTTAAAAACACCTTGATCTCTGTTAAAGATAAAGTTACATTTACATTACACAGTCCAAGGTAAAAAGCACATTTTGATAAAAGACAAAAGTTGGGAGGTTGAATCAAAGCATAGCTCAGTAGCTTAATACATGTAAGATTTATGAATAAATTAATACACAAATGTAGTTTCATTTGTCTGAGCACAATGTTTTATTTTTTTCAATATTTCACACTGTTTAGTCCCACTTCTCAAGAATCAGTGATTTATAGTTCAGGGAACAGACACAGTCTCTATAGTATGATCTCTAGGTGAAAGAGACTCTGTGTAAAAACAGAAAAGTCCTGAATAAACAGGAAAAACGGAGATGTGATTAAAGTTTGTATCTCTCAAGCATCAGGCGTCAGCACCTTTATTAATACTTGTTTGATATTTCTTATTAATTATGAGAAATATACTCACTTCAGATGGTAAATGCAGTGTATAAGAGGTTTTGGTGAGAGCGCGGCTGCAGCTCCACATTATCTGAACGAACTAACGAGAATATTCAGTACGACACTGAACATCATGACATAATCTGTAATAAACCTCGTGAAACACGACAACACACCAGTACTGGATACAATGTCAAATAATGACAAATAGTGAAGGTTTTCTCATTCATTTTAGTAGCAAACATTTCACAATGGAGATCTGGGGAATTTGGAGGCCGAGTCAACACCTCAAACTAGTTGTGCTCCTAAAACCATTCCTGAACCATTTTTGCTTTGTGGCAGGGTGCGTTATCCGTCTGAAAGAGGCCACAGTCACCAGGGAATACCGTTTCAATGAAAGAGTGCACATGGTCTGCAACAATGCTTATGTGGTACGTGTCAAAGTAACATCCACATGGATGGCAGGACCCAAGGTTTCCCAAAGCATCACACTGCCTCCGCCGGATAGCATCACACTGCTGCCGCCGGCTTGCTTTCTTCCCAAAGTGCATCCGGGTGCCATGTGTTCTCCAGGTAAGCGACACACACACACCCAGCCGTCCACATGATGTAAGAGAAAACGTGATTCATCAGACCAGGCCACC